TAAATTTACACTATCTATACTTATTCATAAAATTATTATAATTTAATTTGTATATATTTGTTATTGGTACATATTAATATTGGATAGTAATCATTGTTTTCGAAGTATCCATTGATGTAGACAGAATGTCTTTAAAAGTATCCAGTTCAGCAATAACTAGATCAAGTTATTAGGTGGATGTCATTTACCTACATGTACCGATTAGTTCCTCTTCCCCTGAAAACCCCAAAGAATATATAGAAACCAAGTAACTATTTATATGTTGCTCCTTATTAGGGAAGTGTAGATCTAGTTATAAAAAACTAACTATATAATCTATTAGTAGTATTAAAGAGCAAGCCTTCCACATATAAATTGCATAAACACAAATAAATAGCCACATTTTTCCAACATTCCACACACATAAGAAGAGAAACAAGATCTAGAAAAAAATACTTCCACTATACAAGTACATTCTAATAGGTAATATATCTCTTATCAACTGTCAAATTAAGTGTTTAAATTTTATAGTAATTTTAATTATCCAAATTTTCTTTTATTAAATTTTTTAGAGTAACTGTGAGTGAAATTCGATATAAAAAAATAAATAAGATTATCAGGTAAAATGATGATCATATCTAATATAGTCAACTAAAATTTTCGTATCATATCAAAAAATATTTTTTGATTTATGGAAATTTTTGTATATGTTCACATGACAAGATAAAAGGGATGTTCCTTCTGATTATATGGAAGTGAATGCTCAATTAAATTAAGAATACAAGTCTCTTGATTGTGAGCACTGAAAAATCTTAGAGAGGAGTGATCGGCAATGAAACCATGTTGAATTCTCGAATTCCACTTATTAAAGCTTTTACCATGTATAAATAGGCTCACTCTGCACAAACAGAAGAAACAAACAAAATAAAAGCACCAAATTCAAATGGAGAGAAAACAAAAAAATTGTGTAATAGAAAGAGATGTGAATGGAATTGCAACTGTTAACTTGTTTAAAAGAAAAGGAAAAAGGTTGTGAGAAATGGATATGTAAAGTGAGAATAAAATTCCTTGTAAACTCATGTTGGCATTTTCCCTTTTATCCAAGTGCTGTATTATTTTGTTTGATCTTCTTTTTTTTCTTTCCCTCATCAAGAATTTTTTTTTTTTTTTTTTTAAACAAAAAAATCCGGGTGAGATGAGAATCAGATTCACAGAGAAATGAAATTAACACGTTTTCATACCCATTTTTGTACGGTCAAATAACACAACATTTCTTATGACATTTACAAAATGCCATGGGCCATGGGTATTATTTGATTGATTCATTTTCTTATTTTCAAATGCAGGCTAATAAAGACTGTTGTGCGAGATATTTGTGTTGATTATGGCTTTGGGCTTGGGTTGGAGTGGGGCATTTACTTATACGTGGATCGTGTGTATATAATTGTCCATAGATATGGTTTTCAAGGGTTTGTTGCATCATTGGGCAGTCAGCAAAATAGCCCAAGTGTTAGTCAAGATTGATTGCCAAAATATGTAGCGGGAGGTGGGAGAGAACAATTTTTGCTAGTGCCAGTTTAGTTCTTCTTCATGAAAAAAATTTAGGCAAAACCAATTTTGGCCACATGAAGCAAATTAACAACCGTTAATTGGTTCAATCAGTTTGACCAAGAAACAACGGTGTTGCTAAAAATAGTTGTTAATTTCAAAAACCATTCTTCCCTAATTTCCCCAATCAAACCAATTCTAAACCCCTTTCAACAATCAAACCTCCTGTGCGATCGCACCTCCTTCCTCAATTTCCAAACCCACCTCCATCCATCTCCTCTCCACCGCTCCCCATCTTCTCATGGCGGAGCGGGACGCCCCCACCACTCCCCGCCCCGACAACGCGCCTGAGCTCCGAACCCATGACCCCAACCTCTCCTTCCGCCCAGGCACCTACGTCGTTCAGGTCCCTAAAGACCTTGTCTACCGCGTCCCACCTCCCGAGAATGCATTGATCGTCGAAAGACACCGCAACAACAACCACAATTGGAAGCCTTGTGGGTGTTGCTCTTGCGTCGTCTGTTGTTTTATTTCCGTCGTTGTAGTTGTTCTAGGCGTAGGCCTTGTTGTAGGCGTTTCTTTATTTTTGATACAGTCCAAGGATCCTGGATTTCACGTTAAGCATATTATGAGTAGTGTAAATAGGGAGAAATCTTGGGGCACCACGTACGACGTGAAGCTAAAAGTTGACAACCCAAATGGGAATGCAGGCATTTTGTACGGGGAAGGTGGTGTTGCTTGGCTTTGGTTTAGGGAAGAAAAGATTGGTAGCGGTACATTTCCAAGTTTCTTCCAAAAAAATGGTAAGTCAACAGAAGTTGAGATTATACTCGGTGTTGATGAGTCTGAAGATGGCGTGAATTCTGAGAAGATTCAGATTAGAAGCAAGAAGTCAACAAGTGTTGTGGCTTTATCTCTCGAAATGGAGGTGCCGGCGACGGTGAAGAAGGGAATTTTCAGCTCCGGGAAGTTGAAGTTCGGTGTTAGGTGCGATGTGGTGGTAGATAATTTGGGCAAAAGCAATCGAATTCTTTCTGAAGGCTGCGAAACGACGCGCCATGCATAGCCAATGATTGACTTATGTACATCATGTATTGATCTGCGTCGGCAAAAAAACTGCATGTCTAGTTGTTTGATACCTTCTGTAATGTAAGTTTTTAATTAATTTTCTTCTTTCTTCCGTTCCATTTACGTAGAAGCGTGTCGATTGCTCAGTATAAATCTTCTTGCATGCAGAGATCTAAAGCATTCCTTTCAATCATCGTCTTTTTTTTTTAAGGAATTTTTCGAGCGAACAAACACAACCAGCCCAGCCCATTTAATCCCCAATCTCTTTCAAGACATAATTGTGTGCTTGGGCCAACTGTTTCAGATTTAAATAAAATTTTTATTTCTAAATATATTTTTTTTTTATTTTATAGATTTGTTCTTTATTCAGTTTTTGAGTTAAATTAATCTTTATATATATATATATATATATTTTTTTTAAAAAAAATAAAAAAAAATAAAATAAAATTAGTCATCCTCTTTTAGTTCTTTTAATGTCGTTAAAAATCGTGCCATGAGTTACCAGTTTGGACATATGACATTATTTACTTGGTTAACTTTTCACATCAATATTACAAATTGACATATGTGTTAGTAAATTTTTTTTTAAAAAAAACTTAAAATTAGTTTAAAAATACAGCATTTTATCTCATTTTTCATTTGCATTCTGTCTCTCCAAACACAAAAAAAATGAAAACATAAATCTCATAAATTACTTCATTTCAGCAATTTACCGTGACCCAACTATATATATATATATTCTTTCTTTTTTAACAATTTGCACAGAGTAAAAGAAAAGAAAAGAAAAGAAAAGAAAAGCATCAGAGCCATGCCCCCTCCACGTGTTAAAAGGTTATAGGACATAAATAATATCTCAATAATCAATAATGCATTAGTTAGTTAAGTAATTAAGAAGAAATTAAGTGAAAATAAAAAATCCAATATTGACTTGAATGTTTGAAGAGAGCAAATTATTAAAAAGAAAAAGTCATCAAAACCTGACTTGGCGCCTTGCATATTCACACTATCATTTATAGTTTACAGAGTGGTTGCTTCCCTTCCCTTCCCTTCCATGTCCCACACAAAGGGATTATGGGTATATACTATTTCCCCATGGGATCTCTATAAGTCTTTAAAAAAAACAAACAAACCATCAAAAGGTTTATACACACACACACACACACTATATAGTTAAACATCCTATCCTGGCTAGCTTGAATTATTGGATTTTTAAAAAAAAAAAAAAAAATCAGGTGGGATAACTAAAGAAATTAAATTAAGAAGAGAAAAACTAAAAATATTGGTAGATGAGTAGGATTAAGTGCCAGATTCTAAGCATCGTCTCTGTTTTCAAGAATTTCAATACTAGTTTATATGTTTCTTTTTTAACTTACTGCTGGTCTTCTCCATTTTTCTCTCTCTCTCTCTCTCAGATAGCCCATATAATTCACTACTTCCATCTCAATTTAATATACATATATAATATATGTACAAGCTTTCACTGTACACACACCATCCTCTTCCTCTTTATGCATATATAAATATATATATATATATATAGAGAGAGAGAGAGAGAGAGGTTGGTGTTGTGTGCAACCGGGCCTAGAGAGAGTAGGCATGGTTAGGTTAAAGACAAGACAGTAGTGAGGGAGACGATTGGTTACAGTGTGTCTTATAGCGAGGGCCGGGTTTAAGATAGAAAATGATTGGCGGGTAAGATGCAAGCAACAACTCCTATAATACAAACACGTTATAAATTTGCTCCCTAAAACAACGTCATTTAGGTTTGGGTTTGAAACACATGGCTGCATCATCAAAATTTATGCTATAATTAATATCCAATCACCGCCTTTGACTACCTCCGTACGACGTGATCTGTGTTATAAATTCATATTAGCAGCTTGCTCGACCCTCCATGCGGGGACCATACTCCTTGAGCGACACGTCCATACACACACACACACACACACACACACACACCCACACATGTCAAAAAACAAATACTATATATATATGCATGTATTATTGAGTATTTACACTGGTGCGGGACCATGCTGATCAACTTTTTACCTAAAACATGACAACAAGTTTTTACACAGCATGTTACACTCATATTTGTTCATCAACAAGCTTGTTCAGGGAGAATAAGAATCAGCATCTACCTACCTATTCAATAATAATAATAATAATAATATTAATCTATACATGGATTGATTGGTGATTAATTAATTATTAATGGCCGGTCCTCAAGTGTTCCACATGGTGGTGGGTTGAAGCTGTTCTTGCTCAGAATGAAAATGTTTTAATAAATGTAACTCATTAATATATATGGAGTTTGATGCGGGCAGAAAGGGTACAACTCTACAACTTCCCAAAAAAAAAACATATATATTCTTCTTCGAGACCCTACTTTTTGGGAGATCTAGTTAACAGATAGGTGGGTGTTTTAATGACTAATGACAATATATAAATCTAGCAAAAATATACGTGTGTATATAAATGAATGATTCAATTACATGGTATCTGAAGAAAAATATACGTGTGTATAAATCTCAAGAAAAATATTACCTAGATGTAATTTTTGGGTAAAAAATCTTAATCACACATAGTAGTTGAATAATTAGATATTGAAACCATAGAATAACTTGTACCCAAAATAGAAGTTGGTGTGGATGCACTTTTAGATCAATAATTGGGGTTATGATTTAGAAATAAAGATTAATTAGGGGCAGCAATGATGTGTTGAATAATGTAGTGGAATGTTTTCTTTACACGTATGAGAAAAGCAAAGAGGAGGCGGGGGGGGGGGGGTTTCATGGCTTGGAAGCACGCTGAATGCTCCTCCCCAAATCAAGTGGATTCCAACTCCTCTTCAACCATGGATTCCCTCTTCGGCCACTAGTGGGTTTCACTTTCACCACCTAACCCTCTGAAAATAACCATTAATTTATATAAATTAACCACCATTTATTCTATATAATATATATATATATATATATCATGATCACATCCATCCATTGTAAATATATATAATTTATATATATTAACTAGATTCCTTTAGTATTTTGAGGTGGGCTCTCTCAAATCCAAGTGCCCAATGGTTTGAGGGCTACACTTGTGTTCGTGAGCAATGGACTTGTTTCCACTCTGTCATATATATATCCTCCAATATCTTAAAACTTGGGCACATCTCCCTTTGTCTTTTTAAAGGGTTTTCAGGATCATCTCCACCCAATCACCTTCATCTTCCCTTTCTTGCCTTTAAACCCCTTCCCCCTTATATAAAATATCTGCTTCACACATTTTTTAATTAATATAATTAATTCAACTCGTTTTCGACACATGCTTGTGTTTTGCACCCTGGGATGCCGCCATTTTACTTTTAATTAAATTTACATTAATAATACTGAAGCTTAATATTAATTATTTCTACATTACTACTCTTTGATATCAACTTTCTCTCACATTTAGACACTTAGCTGTAACAAGATTTGTCATGTGGGTTAGCAATAGGATAGGGTCTGGATAATTATCACCTTAATTAGAACTAGAATATTTGACTACCCACGCATCACCCGGCACCCAGCAATTATAATTATAAACTAATATATTTTTCATTAATTATTTGACTTATTTATAAAGTTAATTACTATCACCATTAGGGAAATGTGGATAAGTTCCTCAATAATACTTTGGGAGTACATATATCTCCTAGTGATAGACAATGGAACTTCAATTAATTAGACTAGCTAGGCAATATGACAAAATTTATACTAGCGGTAGCATGTTGAACCCATTAGCAACAGCATAATTAAGCTGGTATTAATATATAGTACTTTTTCTTGTGGATAAGATCGGATGAGAAATTATATTTATGGCGAAGTAATTACATGTACAATTTGACATCTAACTCCCCTTCTTCCTTTATAATGGAACCATTTGTGGTTAAAGTTAAATTATAAAGAGCTACCTATTACGTAATTGGTACTATACCAAATGTGATGAATTTGACAAAAACATTCTAATCTTTCCACAAATCTCTCGGGCATCCCTATTTATGCACCCTCTTTCTTTTGTTCAAGCCTTCGAATCATCAACACAAGAGCAAGCTGGTAAGCTTAATTAACTTGTTAAAATAAAGATATTATAAGTACATTAATTTCATCATCCATTCAAACTACTGAGAAAATTCGTAATTTTCTTATATATACATATTTTTTTTTTTTAAAAAAAAGAAAAATAAGTTGAAGCATATGTTGATTAAAAAGGATTGCAAGATCAATCACGTTATCTAAGACAATTTAGGTTCACAAATAATTAGAAAGATAAACTAACAAGCCTAAATGAAAGAAGAAAGCACAAACATGTAATTATTAGGCTCTCAGACAAAATAGTAGTGGTAGCATAAAGATTATATTAGTAGTAGTGTAAATTATTCTCGTAATTGATACCAGGTATGGCGAAATAATAGTACTATAATAGTAATAATAGCAACCATTGAGGTGATGATAGTGTTAATAATAACCCTAAATATAATGATAAAAATAGTAATAATCGTTGTAATTGTGGATGTAATAATAATAATAATGACAATATCGCTTGTAAAAATGAGGTGATGGTGGCAGTAATAATTTTTGTGGCAATAACTATAATGATAGTAGTGACAATAACTTAATGAGGATAGCCAATGAGATTTGCATGGTGATGATGTTGATTTGAGTGATTGGAAGTAACAACTATAGGAACTTACAATAACAACGTGAGTGATGATAACGACAATAAAATGATGTTTATAATAGTGGTAGTGCTGGACTGATAATATAGTGGTAACATCAACAATAACAATTATGAAAACGATAGCAATATTTATTTAACTACAAGTTTTTAAACCTTCCTAGCTTGTTATGATTTTTTGTCAGTAAGTTCACATCATATTATGTGTAATATTATATCAATAAAGTTATTCTTACTTTTCAAAAGAAAAATACAATAATATAATGGTTATGACAATGAGAATAATATAAATAATTTTAATAATAAAGATAATGTGATATTTAGTAATTAATATAGTAAAGTGATATAATAATAATATCAATAATAACGATAGTAAAAATATAATAAATAACAGTAATCACTATATAGTTTAATTTGGAAAAGCCAGCCATGGTCAATCAAAAACTAATAAAACCGTAACATCTCTTAATAATTAAGCACTGACTAATATTTCTCCCGGGAGATTTTTGTATCATCCTCAAACTTGCATATATATATATACACCAGCCGCAGTCTTGATTAATATTCTTTTATATATTTCTCTCTTTGAAAAAAAAATTCTTTTATATGAGTGCGAAAGGGATTGACCGAAGGGATAAATAAAAATAGCCAGGATTCATTAATTTTGAGATACGTTTATAACACATGTAAGCAGTACGTGAAAAAATAAAAATCAATTAATTATTATGGTAGACAGTATTACATACACATATCTATATATATATATATATATACATACATATGTG